CCGATGGATGTGATTCGCACGCGACTCCAGACGCAAACGCTCTCGACAGTACCCATGGCTCAGCAGCCCTTGGCCCTTCAGTACAAAGGGTTCTGGGACGCTGCGCGCCAGATCCACAAAGCAGAAGGTGGCCGTGCGTTCTTTCGCGGTGTGTTGCCCCGTGTCTGCATGTTGGCGCCGTACGCTCTCCTTTCAACTGCTATTGGCGACGTTGTCGACCATCTTCTCGGCAAGATCGACGCGCCATCCTCGTGATCAACCAAGTCGAATACTCGATTTCCCATTTTCTCGGAGAACACAATCTAAACTCAATGCGCTTGAAGAATTCGTTAAATCCGAGTTTGCACGCTACAAGTATATATAGTCAGTTCACTCTGCTCTTTTGAGGGTGGATTTGTTTGTGAGAAAGTGAACCGGTTTGAGTGGCGCCGTTTCAGACGGCAACAGCCAACGTGCGGCCTTTCATGGGGGTCTTGCGCGGTCTCGAAGCCGCCGACGTCTTTAGCTCGGGTTCGAGCCTCGTTCGCGACATCATTTACGTTCTCTTTGGCGCGATTGGCGTCATTGTCCTCGCGATCCTGTACCTGCTCTGGTCCATGTACCGCGAGAGCCTCCAAGGTAATACCTACTCCTGCATGCGGATCTCATGGCTCAAGTAGACACGGCCAGCGCATCCTACATTGAAATCACAGGTATTATGCGAGACCACTTCATTGGAGGTGCTTTTGACCAGTGTAGACGAACATGGAGAGATGATCCATCAAGCGGATACGATTTGCTCGCGCGGTGTCGGTACGCACCTTGTCCCGAGTAGTGTCTAACTAGGACGCAGGCATTCGCTGTGACAATGCCGAGACGCGGCCCAAGCTGCGCAGTCTCCTCACGATGGACGACACCAAGGACGCGCGACCTCGTCAGGCGTCGGCGGTCACAGCGACGTTGGCACACCCCGAGCTCCGACACACCATGTCCCTCCCCGTGCCACACAGCACCATTATGTAGTGTCGATGTCTCTGTGTTTCTATGGACGCCAGAATGCGTTATTTGCTTGTCGGCGCAAAGTCCTTGGCAAATGTCTCGGCCACGAGCAGCGGAAAGACGAGCGTGGCTTCCGCGTACACCTAGAACGCGTTGGCTCGGATTTTGGAAAATGGGTTTGTACCTTGACAGGGTTGGCGTTCAAGCGGAGCTTGCCCCACGAGATGGCTTCATCAGGGCGGGCACCAGCGTCGCTGCCGTCGTACTCTTGGCCAGTGTTGACAAAGACACCAAAGTCGGCGCCGTTGCGCATGAGGTTGGCGTTGAGGATGTGGTGCTTGACGACGCCACCGCCGAGGATGACGACGCCCGTCTTTTTCGCGCGGATCGCATGGTCGTTCATGCGGCGAATGTCGCTGACGATGTCGAGGACGAGGCCTTCGTTGCGGTACGAATGAAAGTAGATCATGTCGCCGATCGAGCCGTCCGTGAGCGCCGGGCAAAACACCGGAATGTTGTTCTAGCCCAGATGCCATACCCCGTCTTTAAAGCAACGTGCGTACCTTGTAGCACCAGTAATAGACCGAGTCTTCGTTGTTGATTTCCTTCCCGAGTCGGTGGATCATCGTCGACGGCGACCACACAGTGCCCTGTCCAATGTGCTTCTTAGACAAGTTGTCCATCACGAGATGCACGTACGAGCGTCTTTTGCTCTTCGAGCATCGTGTCGAGGATCGGGTTGAGCCAGTCTTCAAACTTGCAGTAATTGTCGTTGGGCACGAGGAGGTTCCCGATGCGGTTGATGCCACGCGTGCGGAGGTCCGCGCCCTTGAGCGCAAAGTCACCAATGTATGTGGGCGCCAGACACTTGATAAAGTCTTCTTCAATGCCACCGGCGGTCGCGACAATCACATCCACCTACCCCGCGTGCACTTGAGACGCGCGAACAGGGATATCGAAAGTACCATCTTGTGCTGGGCGAGAAACCGCAGCGTCTCGCGAAGCCCGCTCGAAATCAAGTTGGACGTGTACCCGAGGAAGATCTTGCACTTGAAGTTCGCGCGCACGGTCGGGTCTTTGAGCGCATCGTCGTCGTTCTCGTCGATGGGCTCGTCGCTCAGGCGCCACGACCGCTGCACGTGCGCAATGAGGGCGAGGAGCGAGCGAGATGCATCATCCTACCATGCGGTTGATCTCTTCGACGGCTTTGCCGAGGTTCGTCGCCTGGAAGCCCATGTAGCGGTAGCTCTCCATGAGTTTGGCATAGTCGACACCTTGGTTGAAGTCGTAGCTGCGTCATGAGCATGAGCCAATGGCCTACATCGCGGGCATGGGCACGTACCCCTTCACCTGGCTGTAGTCGCCATTGTCCAGGCGCTCCGACTTGACGAGCACCGCGGCCTGCGCGCCGGCCGGGACCGTCGTCGACTCTTGCTTCGCTTCCATTCTCCTGGGCGTGATTTGCAAATGGTTGGAAGAGACGTCTATTTATTCGAGCTATCATTGGCTAAAAAGAAGAAAAACGCGACCAATCACGGCGTGATTACGCAGCCAAGTGCCATCGGCTCGATAGCTTGATACTTTATCATCGTGTCCGACGCCCATTGCCCAGTGAGCCAGCCACTTTGTCCTTGTTGTGCCCCTTGCCACAAGTAAGAATCGTGGTCCAACAGCGCCGAGCCAGGAGGTACCATACTGGTCGTAGCAACTTGAAGTTGACAACAATAGACGCTTTTCATTGGCCACAGGTGGCACGCTTCATGAAGCACGGCGATCGCTTGCTGTGATCTTCCTTGGTCCTCAAAGGAAGCTAGAGACGATTTTTAGGATGGATGTACGCTGATATTCATCTCTTGTTGAATCTAGTTAGACATAGACCCACAACACATTTGTATAACGTGAGCAAACGACCAAGGAACACGATGGGGAAGCGCTCAAAGCGTCGTGGTTTGAGCTGCTACTGGTGCTGGAGCGACCGCAGCATGCGACTTGGTTATCGAGAAGCTCGTTTGCGATGGCAGCGCTGGCGCAGTCGAGGCGATGACTCGGAGAGCGACCTTGGTGTCGATCTTGTCGCAATGAATGCCTACCACGCATTAGAGACTGCTAGCGAGGCGCCGCTGCCAACCTTGGCCTCGCGAGCACACAGTGTCGCGCGTCGCATTGAGGCATGGCGGATCTATGCGTCGTTGCGAAGACTGATGGAGACAGGGCTCGTACCTTCAACTTCACGGTAGCCTTGGAGTTCTGGTCGCACAAGAAGATCTTAGTGGATCATGCAATGCAGGGAGTTGTACCGTCCAGCTCGGCGTCAGCGCGGGCATTCTTGTAGCAAAAGTAGAACCCCAGTAGGAGCATGAAGCAAAAGACACCAAGGAAAATGTAGAGCACAACGAGAAGGCCATCAAAGACCGAGCTGCCCGAGCCTAGTCGAGCATGTTCGTCGTCGAGAGTGAGCGCAGCCTCGTACCTTGCGCCACCATGCTTATCCGACGCTCCGACGCTTCGCTCCTTGGAGGTTACACGGTGCGTCCGGTTAAACGCTGGCGATCTGACGTGATGATTTCGGCGCCAAGATGCCAAAGGTCGCCAGAGCTGTCGCTAGGCCATTGACAATGGCATGCCGACCTCTGCATCCCATTGCGCTTGAATCTTTCCTTGGTGCAGCTCGATGGGACGACGTGGCCAAGCTCAGGTGCTCGAAATGAAATAACATTCTTTACGATTGTATACGTATACGTGCTGCAGGAGACCATACGTCGCTGCGTGCGTCGAGCGGATGCCCAGGGACATAGCTACTGAACATTGACCATGCGAGTTGTCTAGACAGGTCGCTACCACTGGGCTGACCTTGTGGAGTTGAAGCGACGCTTCTTGCTAGCCTAATGTTTGTTCTGCTATGAGGATGGACGATATCGTCATGGTTGGAGTCTGTGCGCAATGTCCTCCGTACGCGCTCTGTGGGCAGAAGGTGCTCATCGTCGGCCGTGTTCCCTGACGCCCGCCCCAACTTCAACCACAGCATCCTCGTAGTTGCTTGCAACTTCGATTGCCCGATCTTTTGTCGCCGCGTTTGTGTACTTGTGCATTGTATGCAATTTTATTATATTCGAGCGCCATCCACATCGAAGCGCAGGATCGAAGTTGCCAATCAGTACTCATTTGCCATTTCACCGCCGACAACGACGATGACCACAACACCTCCGATGCGCCCGCTGACGGCGACCGAGATGGCGGCTGTCCGCGCCGAGTTCCCGTCGTTCAACGTGCCCAACCAGAGTGTCTTCTTTGACAACGCCGGCGGCGGCCAAGTCCTCAAGCGCGTGGCCGACAAGGTGTACGAGTACCTCACGTCGACAAGTGTCCAGATCGGCGGGACGTACGCGACCGCCAAGGCCGCCAACGCGCGCGTTCTGACCGCGCGCAAGGCCGTCGCCGAGTTTATCAATGCGCCCAACGACGAGGAGGTCATCATGGGCAGCTCGACCACGAGCCTTGTGTTCCTCTTCATCCAAGCGCTGCTCCCGAGCATCCGCGAAGGCGACGAGATCATCTTGACCAACTCGGAGCACGAAGCCAACGTCGGCGCGTGGAAGCGTCTCGCCAAGGCCGGTGCGGTCATCAAAGTCTGGGAGATCAACCCGGCGAGCATGCACCTCGAGCTTGCGCAGCTTGACGCACTCTTGACGGCCAAGACGAAATGGGTCGCAATGACGCATGCGTCCAACATCCTCGGTACGGTCAACCCCGTGAAGGCTGTCGCGGACCGCGTTCATGCTGTCGGCGGCCGTCTCTCGGTGGACGCCGTTGCGTACGCGCCGCATCGCCTTGTCGACGTGCAAGCGAGCGGCGCCGACATTTACGTCTTTAGCTTTTACAAGGTCTTTGGCCCGCACTACGCCGTCATGTGGGGCCACCGCGACTTTCTCATCTCGCTCTCGAGTCTCAACCACGAGTTCATTGCGGCCGACGACCTTCCGTACAAGCTCCAGCCCGGCAACGTCAACTTCGAGCTCTCGCATGGCTGCAGCGCGATCCCAGAGTACTTTCAGGCCATGGGCAAGCTCCTCGGCGCGCCCAGCGGCGCCTCGAACCGCGCCCTGATGCAGCACGCGTTTGACCGCTTTGACATGCACGAGCGGTACCTCTCGGAGCGCCTCCTTTCGTACCTTCGGTCGCAGCCCAAGGTCAAGGTGCTCGGTCTCTCGGAGGTCGCCATGACATCGCCCGTTGATCATCTCTACCGTGAACGCATTGCCACGATCAGCTTCCTCGTCGACGGCGTCGCGTCACCGTCCATTGTCGCGCACATGGACCGCGTCAACATTGGTGTGCGGTTTGGCCACTTTTACGCCGTCCACCTCGTCGAGCCGCTCGGCATGGCCAAGCACGGTGGCGCGGTCCGCGTCTCGATGGCCCACTACAACACGGTCGAGGAAGTCGACTTGCTCATCTCGCACCTCCGCACATTGATTGTGTAGCTACGATGGAATACGATCGCTGAAATCTGATATATAAAAAAGCAATGGACGGGAGGACGCCTCGATTAAGCCGACTTGGTCTTCTTGGCGCGAACTTTCTTCTTGGTGCTCTTCTTCATCGAGAGCGGGTTGGGCGCCTTCGCCTTCTTCAGTGCTCGCGGCTTGGAGCCGTCGTCGATGTGGGCCGTGATGCCCGACTCGGCGCGCACGGCCTCGAGTTTCGAGGCCTCGTCCGGGTTGAGCTTGGTCATTTTCGCGTGGTCGTCCTTGCGCGAGATCTTGAGCGTCGCATCCGACATGTCTTCAAAGACAAGCACCGAGCGGTTGAGGTAGATGAGCGGCACGCCGGGCACGCGGCGCAGCGCGCTACGCAGCTCGGTTTCCTGCGTGGCCACAATGTACTTGCGGTCGTTGCGGTCGCCGACCGCGCTCAGCATGGCCTCTGTCACGCTCTTGTTGGAGTTGCCATCGACAGTCTGGAAGGTCTTGGCGAGCGTATACGCCGCGAGCATGTCCTTGTCGCTGCTGCTGAGCAGCGAGAGCTCGGCGATCGCAGCCGACGTGACGAAGAAGTGGCACTTGTCAGTCTGAAGGAACTTGGGCACGCGACTCGCAATGTCGACGTTCATCTTGATGCACATGGCGATGAAGTTGCCATCGAGGAGCACCTTGTACGGCGGCTTGATGCCGCAGAGGAACTGGAACTGGCGCAGCGCCTTGCGGATGTGCTTGGACCGGAGGTACCGCATTCGACCGCGCTCTCTGAAATCTAAATCACGATGACCAATCGCGCTACATCCGGATACGGATAAATGCCGGATACGCTTCCGACGAGTGCGCGGTGCCACGTCAGAGACGGTTTCGTCCTTTCCCGCTGTGCCCATGGAACCGAGCGGCGAGGACATATATATATGAACGTGTTTCGCGTTATCTTCATAATTACACAAAGACTTCGCGTACGTAGAGACTAGCAATCTCCTTCTTCTTCATTCGCTCGCCGGGCCGCGCCTGTGTCGCGAGAACATATTTGCTTATATCGACAACATGCAGCTTCATTATCGTTCGTGTGTGTAGGGTGACGCACCCACAGAAGACGGCGACGCCTAAAAGTCTTTGTCCCAGTTGGACCCATCGTTCTCGTACGACGCCACCTCGTCCCACTCTTCGACGACCGCAAACTTGGACGCGTCGAGCGGGTCGGCGAGCGTTGGCAGCCACGGCGCGGGCTCCTTCTTTTTGATAATTTTTTCCCACTCGAGTCCGTGGAACCAAGGGTGCGTCCGAATCGCATGTGTGCCGCCGTGGTTGCAGCCAAGCCGCTTCGAGACATCGCGGTCGAGGAGCTTGGACACGAGGTCTTTGCACGCGCCCGAGACCCACGATGGAAACCGCAGCGGTTCCTTGAGGATGTTGCGGCAAATCTGGACTTGGTCCGACGGATTGTTGCCTAGAAAATGTGTCAACTTTGGCTCAACTCATTGCCACGTCGTACCACAGAAGGGCGATGCGCCGACGCACATTTCGTAGATGAGCACGCCGTACGCCCAGTAGTCGACACCCTACATGGTATCGTAATCGCAAAGGTACGAACGAAGGCGACGAACCTTGTTGTGGCCTTTACCGAGCACGAGCTCGGGCGCGAGGTACTCGGGCGTACCGCACAGCGTGTACGTACGGTCTTGGCAGATCTTGGCAAAGCCAAAGTCGACCACCTAGTCTCGTGTGAGTTGTCTGCAAGCCAAAAGACAAGTTGTCCAACCTTGATGTAGCCTTCTTCGTCAATGAGGAGGTTCTCGGGTTTGAGGTCGCGGTAGATGATCATGCGGTCGTGGAGGTACTCCAACGCGAGCACGACGTGCGACGCGTAAAAGCGAGCATGGTCATTTGGAATGCGTCCCGTCGGTCGCTCATTGCAGTGCAAGTAGGCAAAGAGCTCGCCGCCTTGCACAAACTACACGCGGGTGATGACGCCGCTCACGCAAAGTTGATGTCTACCTCTAGGAGCAAGTAGAGGCATTGCTCGTCCTTGAACGTTTGGTAGAGCTTGAGAATGAACGGGTGGTTGCACTATCCAAGTGGTTAGACCCTCATGTAATGCATGTGACGTACGGTGGCGAGGAGGTTCTTTTCGTTGAGAATATTGAGCTGCTGCTTGTACGCAACGACTTGGCTTTTCTGGAGCACCTTCATAGCGTACGCCATGCCCGTGCCCTTGTGGCGCACGAGCTTGACGCGGCCAAACGTGCCCGTGCCAAGCGTGCGAAGGATCTCGAGGTCGGCAAACTCGACCCGGTCGCGCGCCGTGAGCTCGGCCTTGCGGTCGTCCGCCTCTTTGTTCAAGATGTCTTGCAGTGGCCCAAGGAGCTCGACAAACTAGACCATTGAGAGCTGGTGTGGATGTCGCGCCGTTTCAAAATCCAGTACCTTGGCGCGCTCGAGCACAAAACACTCTAGTAGGCCGCCCGCAGTCACGTTGGCCTTGCGCGGCTCGTCGTTGAGCAGCGCCATTTCGCCAAAGTAGTCGCCGACCGAGAGCTTTGCGATCTCGACGGCCGTGTTGTTGCCTTGTCAAATGGAGGGAAAACTAAGGTTTTTCCTAATGTCGGCTAGCAATGCAGTACCGTTGGCCTTGGACACGATCGCGTGGCCGTTCTTGATGATGTAGAACTTGGTGCCGGGCTCGCCTTCGGTAATGACGGACGTGCCGTCCGCAAAGGTCTCGGTTGTGAGTGCGGCAAAAAGCATCGCGCGCTTGGACGGCGTCAGTGACTTGAGAATGGGCACCGATTGAATGACGCTAGTGAAGGGATTTGATTGGTCCGTGGATCGAAGACATTATTGTCGTATACCGCATGCTCATGTTGCGATCGATGACTTCGCGAAGCGACCCCAGGATCTCGTCAAACGCCTGCCGATCGAGCGCCAGCGCTAGTGGAATTTTGGATTTTTACGTGTTTTTCACAAAAAGACAAACGCCGCACCCACAACGTCGGTCTCGGCCGTGACATTGGCCGCCCGCGGCTCGTGCGTCATGAGAGCGCGCTCGCCAAAGTACTCGCCGTCCTACGACACACCATTGGCGATTGCGAGTGAGGACTCGAGGACGTACAGAAATGCGAACACTTTCCATCGTGTTGCCATCGCCGGCATCGCTGCAGACCACTAGCGACATGACATGATTTCCCATCGATGCATGTTGGACAAGTTGTCCATAACGCACCGGTGCCCGACTTGATGATGTACAAGACGTTGCCCTTCTCGCCTTTGGTGATGATCCGCTCGCCCTTCTTGAAATGCAATAGTTGTACGACTAGTTTCACGTCAGCAACGTGATAGACAAATTGTACGCACCGTTGGAGAGCTGGCTCATTTGGTTGTCCGTGAGCTCCTACAAGCAGAAATGAGTTCTCATCATTAGTATCAAGTTGACACAAAGTGGGGCACCTGGAGCAGCGGAACGTGGCGCAAGAATTTTTTACACTCGTCGAGCTGGTCCTCGGCGTTGCGCGCGACGATCCAGCGAAACGTCACGCGGTCGAGCGCCCAGAGATCACCGGCTTCCACGGTCGTGATGGTCGCCGAGCGCGGGCAGTTGTAGAGCAAGGCGAGCTCGCCGAAGCTGCCGCCGGACCGGACCGTCATGACGACTTCGCCTCCAACGGAAATGTCAAACACACCGCTCTCGACGACGTAGAAGAAGTCGCCCGAATCGCCTTCGCGAATGACCGTGTCGTCCTTCTGGAAGTGCATGCGCACCATGAAGCCGGCCATGACGTCCATGTCCATGGCGCTGATGATCGACATGAGCGCGTTCCGAGACAAGGCGTCCTTGATCAGCGACGCAGTTTCCTCGGGTTTTGGCACCGTATTTGGTTGGTACTCGTCGTCAAACTGGATGCTCTCGGCAAAGATGTCGCCGCGGCGCTGCGCATCGCGCTTCTCGCGCATCGCGAGGCTCACCTTGCCGTCCGAGGACGTCGGCGCCTCGACCGCTGCAATGTTGTCAAACTGCGCCGTGTCCTGAAGCGTCGACGAGTTCGCGCACCCCATCTTGGTCGCTTGACCGAAAATGCAAGTCTTGGAAACGGACCCGCCTTTTTAGCAGGCGCCGCTTCGGCTTGTACACTATTTCCGAAGCGAGCGCTCATTGGCTCTGCTAGGAAACCCCCGTATCTTGGAAAGACTGTGCGAGGAGCCTCGAGCCTGCCGGAGCTTAGAGGAGAATGTCATGCGAGACCGCAGTGTCGTTAGCTGCCCGGAACGAGGTCCATTCGAGGGCCCACAATACCTGTTTATCCCGCCTCGCTCAAGTATGCCCCTTCCAATGTTCGCGATGGGCAAAAAGGGGTGCAAAGGTTTTGTATTCGTCGCAGCGCTGCGCTTGTATGCGTGTGCGTTGCTCTTTTGAGCTACGTACTGTGTGATCCGTCTTACGGGGCCCCTCCCGCCGAGTGATAGCCAGCACGAGATCAACTCTGCTAGCTGCATCCTACCGAGGGCGTTCATTGCGAGAACCCGATTTGACGGGAAGCGTCTAAATCGACATGCGAAAAGCGCTGTGGGCACTCGCGAACTCGGCTGCTGCACTGGTGTCACACCCCGCGGCCAACGCCCACGATGCCCAAAATATGGTATCTCAACAGGCGCGTTGTGACGGCTGATCAATTCGAACTCAAGCAGCGCCGACACTACACCCACGATAAATGCCTCTGTCCAAACTCTTAGCTGTTTGAGCTAACCTTGCATTTTGCATCGACGCGACATTGCGGCCTCGTTTGATGTTTCCTTTAAATATTGTAGAGGGGGCGATGTCTCTGGTCTGCTCCATAGTTTCCCCGTCTCTCGAATGTCAGCTCTCCAAAAAATGAGAAACATCGACCCGGGGCTTTTCAATGTTTCTTTGTGGGGTCCTTGGATCCTATTGAATTTACTGTTGCTCCCGCTTCATCGTGTCCTGAAATCTCGTGGCAAGGTGTCTTTGGACATGCATTCCTCCTTCACCACCAAGCGGGAATGCTGGTCAATGCGATGGCCACTCATATGGTGGTGTCCAGTATCGTTCGTAATCATGTGTCAATCGAAGGTCAAGTTGAGTCCTTTGGCGTGCTCTGCAATCATGTTGCGCGAACTTGGCACGAGACAACGCAAGATCTCTGCTTCGATCCTGCTGCTGCTCACTTTGTTTTTTGCAACAGCATGGATCTCGCGCTCGTCTGTGGCCTCTTGGCTCTTGGGCTCGGCCTCGCCTTTCTCTACTTCTTCGTTCTCGCGCCGGCATGGAGCCCGCTTCGGGCGATCCCGGGTCCTGCCGCCAGCCACATCATCTTCGGCAACCTGTACGCTTCTATCTTGCAGAATGCCATCTTGATCTAGTCATTAGCAAGGAAATCATCGATACCAAGTGGGCCAACGGCCATTACCCCGAGCCAGGCCTCAAGTGGACGCTGCAGTACGGCGGTGCGGTGCACTACCGCGCATTTCTTTCGCATCGGGTATACCATCGACTGGCATGTGATGGTGCATCGACTAAAGATATCGACGACTAGATTCTCCTCACAGACCCCGAAGCCCTCAAGCACGTGTTTCTTACCCACGGTGACACGTACCCGCGGGACCCGACGGCGCGGCGCTTCCTCAGCGTATGTGCCACTTGGCGTTTTGGATGCAATTGTATCAAGTTGATACCATAGAACCTCACGGGCGGCGACGGGCTCTTGAGCTCCGAAGGCGACGTGCACACGGGCATGCGCAAGCTCTTGATGCCGCATTTCGGTTACGCCAAGGTCAAGACCTTTGTCGACGTCTTCCAGCACCACACGGCGCACCTCATGCGTCACCTTGACACGGTGGTTGCGTCTGGCGCGTCCGTCGACATGCACGACCGTACCGTTTCACCATTTTTGGTGATTCGCCAACTCATTTTGCTGATAGTCTTTACCAAGCTGACACTGGACGTGATTGGCGTCTCGGCGTTTGGCTACAATTTCGAGTCGCTCGCCGGCAGCAACTCGACGACACTCGAAGCTTACCACATGATGAACAACACGCCGAGCTTGGCGTACTTTGTTGGGTCGCTCATCCTCCCGGGCTTCAAGCACTACCCGCTGCCACGCCTGGTCAAGATGAAGCGCGCCAAAGCCATCCTCTTCAAGGTCGTCGACGACGTCATTGCTAAGAAGCTCGCCCATCCGAGGGATATTGCGACCGACCTTTTGGACCTCATGCTAGATGAGAGCACGCAGACCGATCACAAGGTCTCGGCCGCAGAAGCCCGTGTCCACGTCCTCACCTTCCTCCTTGCCGGACACGAGGTATCCACTGCCAACCTCGTTCGCAGTACATTTTTCATGTCGAATGCAACAGACGACGAGCACGACGCTCGCTTGGGTGTTTACGCTTCTAGCGCAGCACCCCGAGGCCGAGGCCAAGGCGCGTGCCGAAGCCCGCGCGGTGCAGAAGGCTTACGGGTCCATCTCGTACGCAGCGCTCGGGGACCTCAAGTACATCAGCGCCGTCATCCACGAGACGCTTCGCATCTTTCCGACGATCACGACGCTCGCGAGTCGCATTGCCGACGCGGACGACCATATTCCGCTCGAGTCGGGCAAACCCATTTTTGTGCCCAAGGTCCATATCGATCTCTGGATCCAGAAAATGCTCATATTCTGTTTTAGGGCACGACCATTGTGGCCAACACGGGCGTCATGCACCGCAACCCGCTGTACTGGAGCCGTCCGACCGAGTTTTTGCCCGGTATTCGTTACGGTCCACACGTGCCATGACACTATTCCGTGTAGACCGGTTTCTCGACGACTCGGACGTCTATCTTGCGGACAAGGGACTGCGCGGCGGTCGCGGCAACACGTTCTTCTACATGCCGTTCAGCGCCGGCGCCAAGAACTGCATTGGCATGCGCTTTGCCACCGCCGAGCTCCAAGTCGTTGTTGCGACGCTCCTCACCCAGTTTTCCTTTGCGTTGGCTCCGGAGGCCAACACCAACCCCAAGCTCTCGGGCGTCTCGCTCAAGCCCGTGCAGCTCACGATGCATGTCAACCACGCCTGAGTGCACGCCTTTATTTCTTTCCACCACCAAATAAGACAACTTGTGGACATTGTATAGGACAATTGTTTCTTCTAGTGCTTGGAAAAGGTCGTGAGCCAGTGCTGGACGTGGGCTCGCACGACTGCACGCGCCGACGCGAGGTCGTCCGAGTCGGTCGCGTCATGAAAATACAAGTCGGACTGGTGCGCGCCCTTTGGAATGCGCACGGCGACGACCGACTGCGAGAGCGACTGGAGTATGCCGCTGTTGCTCCACGGGTCCAGGTCGCCGTTGGTTAACACGAGATTGGTCGCCGCTTCGAGCCCGGCACGCCCGCCGTACATGGTGTGCGCGTAGAACGGGCGCAAATCGACGCCCCAAGTCTGCAGGCACCGCATGGCGTCTGTGGTCTCGTTGTGGCGCTGCGGTGGGAACATGTCGTCGTCGCCGCCAGCATAATCGCGCGGGGTGTAGAGTTCGGTGCACTTGAGGTACTTGAACACATTTTGACGTCGCTCGCCGTGGTCGTTGCCAAGGTCAAAGCATGGCACGTCGCCCGATGCATTGTAGTAGACACCGACTGCGTCCCGCACGGCAGCGTAGAGCTCGAGATCGGAGCGGCCAGCATAGTAGTCGTGGGCCAAATGCGCGCAGGCGGCGCGCATCGGATGGCCCGGCAGACCTGCCGTCGGGAACGGGTGGTTGTGGACGGCCAAGGCTTCGAACGCTGTCGTGATCCAAGCAACAAGAGAACTGGACGAAGGACTAATGCCGGGGCAGAGGCGGAACGCAGCGGCGAGCTGTGTGCGACCGCTTGAAGAATGTGCCGCTGCCGTGAGCTGAGGCCACAGCGCGCGGACATTGGGGATGCAGTTGGGGTGCGCACCGGCCACGGGACTTGCCACGTACGTGACGGTCCGCGCAAATGCGGTGGCGTCGACATTCGCTTCAAACGCGAGAAGTGGCGCCGAGCTTGCGACCGCGCCGATCACGAGGTGCGGGAACTTAAGCCGCAGCCACGTCGCGAGGAGGCCGCCGTAGCCGCCGCCAAACGCGACGACCGGGCGATGGCCAAAACGAGCGAGAAGCGCTGTGATTACGTTCGCATAGTCGGCGAGCGCCTGCGCCGTCGAGAGGTGGTCCAGCGCATGGGTGGACGATGACGAGGATGGGATCGACGTGCCAAAGAACCGGTGCTCGGCAAAGACGAGGAGCGCGTTGGCGACCGGCGCGGCTTCCCACATGGCGCCGGTTGTGTTGAGGAAGACCTCGACGTTGGCGTTGCCGCCCGTGTAGAAGAAGATCGGACCGTTCGTCGCATCGAAAAACTCACTGCAGGTCAAGTACCGCTGCTCGAACGACGCCGCGTTGGCCGACGCGCCAAAGTGGTCGAGTGGCTGGAGCAGGGTGTTGGTCTCGCAGCGCGAGCGCAAGTCGCCGGAAAAGTCATGGCGCGCGTCCTGCAGCGGCGGGTCGGGCTTGGCGGGCAGCGACCAGCCAAAGGCGAGAACCGCGCTGACGAGCACGATCGCAACGAGGCTCGTGAAGCTGCGCCGGACGCGCGTCGTCGAGCGCGCGTGGGCCTCTGCGTCGCTCGTGAGCTTCTCGAGGATCGGCAGTCGCGTCTCGTCGTCCGACGCCATCGACAACCGCTGTTTCGCGTGGAAATGGAATTGGGTTCTGCCAGAATATCATCCGACGCACCATCACTCTGCAAGATTGCACCCAGATTGTTGAAGCGCAGATCCAGATCTGAACCCAGCAGTTCCTGCTACGTAGAAGGTTTTACCTGCTATACGTACCGGTACCGTAGGGATGCAAATTAACACCACTGACTCCTCGAGGCCTCGTCGATGGTCCCTCAGGAAGAGGCTGCGTTCGGCCAAGGCGAACAAGTTGCTTTGGCTTGCGTTCAGCGAGCAGTGTCAGCAAGATTGGCCGGGCTGACTGCCACCGGTTTCTAATCAAGCGACGTCTAAGCTCGGAGAAGACGTAGAGCGAATGGATTGTTGCCACGTATGGTAGCGTACCACCAAAGTCGCCCTCGAATTGGACAGCTGTGGGCCTTTCGTTGGGTCCCAAAGTGCAAACTTCACTTGATATTCGCGTGACGAGCCGCTCAACGCGCTTCGAGACGACGCTTGGTGCGCGCGCTACCTCGTCCCTCGCATCACGACTCCTCGCTAGACACATCGGGCACGCTCCACGAGCGCATGATCAAGTCCGCCATATCGGTATAACTGCATAACTCATTTCAACACCAAAATCACTTTGATATAATCCCGCGAGAACCCACGTCGTCCACGTGTGCAATGAATGGATGGTCTGTCCTCCGAGCGCACTATCTAGTAAACTACTCAACGTGGTAATTCGAGTCTTTCCCCTTGGGTTGTGACGGCCGCGCGTTCGTTCATCAGCTGGTCCTCTTCGTCGATCTTGTCGCTGAGAAAGCAAAAGCCAATAGATGAAGAAGGCCAGCACAGGGAGCCCAGTAGCTGCTTGAACAAGCAACCACCGAATAGCTCTGCGTAGCAAAGGCGCAGGCAGCTTGGCTTTGTGAATTGGCTCAGATACGCTAGCAGGTAGGGGAACAGCGTGGGGCTTGGTCAGCGGAGAATGCTCGTGGATCCAGTCGCCAAAGGCTGAATGAAGTGGCGTCCGGCGCTGCCACACGTGACGGCAGCCATCGCACGCGACATCGATCGATCGCTCGGTGGCCCAGCGCCTGGATCCGGAGCACGTCCATCTTGTTGTCGACGATGCCAGGTTGAACGCGTGTCTGCCGCAGAAGTAACGACGTGCAGTACGCTCTGCCGTCGCGCGCACAGTAGGCCTCTTCCGGAGCATACCACGCGTTGGCCGCGGCGTCGCGAGTCGGGCAGTTGGAGCGTGTTTGAGTCAAGGACCCAATACACTGTGATTGTGGACACAGCGGCGGCCCCAGTTCTTATATTCTCGGCCGAGCAAACGCCATGTAGTTTTGAGGAGGCCAAGGATCTTTAAGTTATACGAATTATCTCTTCCGGAAGCGCTTGAGCGAGTGCTTCTTGGACTTCTTCATGAGGTCCGCTGTCGCGTCGCGTGACCGGTACTCGCCGTCGGCGGTCAAGAGGTTGCCCTTCATCTCTTCGTGGAGCATGCGGAACTTGCGCTTGGCACCAATCGGGCGCAATGGTTCTTGGAGAAGGCGGTTCAGGTTCGCTTTGGCGCCGCGCACATCTGAGCCGCCCTCGACGTGCATTTGCGCAAGGAGGTCGTCGTCGAGCGGCAAGTCGGCGGCTTCGGCCATCTGCGAGAACCACGACGCTTCCGACTTCGACTTGCTCTCTTGGTTCTCTTCAGCGTAAATCTGTTCGGCGAGCTTCACACGCTCCTTGATGACCGGCAGGAACTTGTGGTCGATCGGGAACGACGAAAAGCCCGACGGACGGTGGAGGACGCTGCAGATCTGCGCGTGGTATTTCTACACATCGTCCATGAGCCTCTTGATACTTTGAAAGGTTGAAATTTTTGTGAAACGTACCGCGTCGATCGGTGCGACCATCGAGACACTGAGACCTTCCTTGGCCGCACGGGCCGTACGACCACTGCGGTGGACGAACGTCTCGGCCGAGCGCGGGATGTGGTAGTGCACCACGTACTCGACGCTCGGGATATCGAGACCGCGCGCAGCGACATCGGTGGCGATCAGAATGCCCTTGGGGTTGGCGCGGAAGCCCTCGAGCTTCTTGAGGCGCTGCTTTTGCTGCATCTCGGCGTGGAGCGCAAAGACCGGGAGCTTGAGAAGGCTCAAAATGCCAGCGACGCGACGTACACCGGCAATCGCGTTGAGAAAGACAATCGTGCGCCCCGGGTACTAATATTGTCCTATCGCATGAGACAACCGAGATAGGTGAAGACGATCCTACCTGCGTCAAAAAGTAGTAGAGGCAGTCGTTGCGGTGTTCGTCGAGCGTCTCGATTTGCGAGAGTTCGAGGCCGGCCGGCAGCGTCACCTCCGACGTGCCCTTGGGCTTCTTGCTCGTCGGCGCGCTTTCGTCAGTCGTCGCATTCGTCGCCGCCGCCACGCTGAGGTCGACGACCGCGGGCTTGCCGCGGAGACCCACGCGGCGCATGATGCTCTCGAGCACCGTGAGTGCAGTCGGGTTCTTCATGCGCTTGGTTTGGTACCGGCCGGCGTTCTTGAGCGTCATGGTCGCCGAGAAGAGGAACGTCTGCCGCACAAAGGTGGGTGCCTTGGGGGCCTCGGGCTTGGCGGCCTTGGCCGCTGCGTGCTGCTTGAGAATGTCATCGAGCATCACGACCGATGTCTCGGCCGCCTCCATGGGCACGTCCTCGTCGTCGTCCTCGTCGTCGTCCATGTCGTCGAGGACCTTGCCTTTGACCGGCTTGGCCGTGTTGGAGTTGATTTTCTCAAAAATCTTTTGAAGCTGCGGGAAGCTCCCGGGTTGGAGCATGCGATCCGCTTCGTCGACAATGAGAAACTGCAAGTCGCGGTTCAGAGCCGCAAAGTGCTGGCTTTCGGCGGTCTCCATGACTTCCCAGAGACGACCGGGCGTCGCGACGACAATCTCGGGCGCATACGAGAGCTGGCGGATCTGCTTCTGGACCGCCATGCCACCGACCAAGGTCACAATACCGATCTGGCGCTTGTTGGGCACGATCTTCATGAGGTGCTCCGTGATCTGCATCGCCAGTTCGCGCGTCGGCGTCAGAATGAGCGCGCGGCACTTCTTCTCTTGCTCCGGGTGCGACAGCAGGTGGTGCAGCACCGGGAGACCGAACGCGAGCGTCTTGCCGGAGCCTGTCGGCGCCGCACCGACCACATCGCGGTGCTCGATCACAGCCGGATGCAACGTCTTGGCCTGGATCTCGGTCGGGCCCGTAAAGTTGACGCGACGAAGCGCTTGGTTGATCGTCGGGTGGAGCTTGTACTTGGCCCACTCGGGAAAGGGCTCGGTCGAGATCTCTTCTTCGTCGGCAACGTCTTCCGCGACAGCAGCGTCGTCGTCGTCGTCGTTCGCATCGTCGTCGTTGGCTGCATCGATCGCAACGACGTCGTCTTGGTCCTCGGTCGCGTCGTCGGCCTTGGCCCCTGCGTCCGAGATCGCCGCCCCCTTGTTCTTCTTGGTACGCTTCTTCTTCTTGCGCTTCTTGCCTTCGGCATCCACGACAGCCGCCGGCGACGTCGCAGCGCTCTCTTGGTTGTCGCTGTCGGCTACCTTGGGCTGCGTCTGCTGCTTTTGTTGCGTCAGCTGCTTTTGCGTCTGCTGCTGCTTGGCCTTCTTGGTAGCGTTGCCCGACGCCGCCCTACAGGAAGCATATGAGCATCACTCGAGGTTCGTAGGGTGCAGCGTACTTGAGCGTCTTGCCACCAAACTCGTCTTCTTCAATCGTGTACTCTACGCACGGCTGCATGAGCACCGTGTCGTCTGGCATGTCGTCGTGTTCGTACCCGTGAGCTCTTCCAGCTCAAAGGCGCCGCCATCGGCGAAGCCTTCCAGCTCGTACTCGGTCATGTCGACCTTCTTCCATGCGCTGGCGTTGCCGCCCTTCTTCTTCGCATCGGCTTGCTGCTGCTTCCCCTTCTTGGCCATAGTCAAAAGCGGATCTAATTCGAGACGAGCAACATTTCCGCCAACCATTCGCCATTTCGATTGCGATTGGCTGAAAAAGCGTCCGGATAAAACCCAGCGAGCCAATGGCCGTTGCGTATATTCCGCACCCATGGACCGCAGAGCCGCCGCCGCCGTGCGCGATGTCCTCACGAGTCCTGCCGATGGCGCTGCCACGTGGCAGGCGCTGCTACGTACCGCAGAGGATCTCGATACGGATGCCAAGGTAGCACACGGCGAGTGCATTGCCCGCGCGCTGCTCAAGCACATTCCGCTGGCGCCGCTCGTCGATCGACTGACATCGGCCGTCCAGCAATTTGCCGCAATATGGCCGCGAGAGGCCTTGAACATGCTTGCGAACTTGCTGCAACAAGAAGACGATGGCGTGGGCAATGCGTCGGGGGTGCGTGGCTGGGTCATGCACGTGCTTCAACTGACGCAGCTCGTCGACGCACCGCATGGCACTCTCACACCGCTCGTCGCCGCCTGCAATGCAGCCAAGCACGCAGAGCGAGACCGCGCGGTCGCCATCAAGATCCACGCTCTGCACATGCGCCTCTTGGCTGCATGCCCTAATTTGCAGCCTGCGCATGTCCTTTGTGCGAGTGAGGACTCGGACCTGCGTCGCTACCTCGCTTCGATCCCGAGTGGCCGCAACGATGGTGCTGCGCTTGCCGACGAGCTCGTCGCGCGCTGGCCGGACCCTTCGTCATTTCTAAAGGACGAGTACGCAGCCACGTGGTTCAAAGTGCACTCGGTGCGCGACCCGTCGACCTACATTGCGCTGCAACAGCATCTGATTGCGACCAAGTACGTGTCGAGCGCGATCGTCGACAAGCACTTGACGTTCAGCGCGCCGCTCCAAGAGTTGCTGCGAGCGGCGTTGCCTCTGTGTTCCGACTTGACGCGGCGCACGGACCGCTGGCGCACATTTGCGTTGTCGGCTCCAGGCGCTGGCTACGTCCGAGCCTCGGGGCCAGCCATGCTCCCTGCAACGAGTGACGCAGTGACCGCACTCCTCACTGCGTGCTCGTCCAGCCACATCCAGTTCATGCTCACAGAGATCCAACGGGCGCTGTGCAACACTCGTGCCGTCGACGACGCCGACCTTCTGCTGCTGGCGCTGTGGTCGCTTCTTGGGGCGTGCGAGGGCCGGGATCCAAGCGTCCTCGCGTCAACCGTCCACGCTCTCATCCTCACACTCTCGCCACGCGGGTTTGATGCCGACGACAACCTTCGCCGCGTCTGCGTCCTTCAGAGCCTCGTCGCCGATGGTCGGCTGGCGGCTTGGCACTGGCTCTGGGTGGCCTGCCCCGGTCTACTGGGGACGATTTTGCGGGATGTGATGCAGCTGGTGGCGACGGCCGACTCGCCAGCATGCGCGCACGTGCTCCTATTGCTCGCACAGACGCTCCTCGTCGAGTGCACGGCAAGCTGCCGCGAGCACGAGGCGTCGCCCGAGCTCGCTGCTCGGATCCTCGGTCCCGGTCGTCCTCGTTGAAGTAGTAGAAGACCGTAAATACCGCGAATGTCATGAATGTATGTATGGTGGTGCAAGTGAAAAATGGGCGTTTTGATATTTGAGCAATTAGATTATAACAAAAGGGCTTAGACCGAGTCGTGGTAGTAGCCACCTTCGTCCGACCGGCCCGCCGAGCAGGCCATGAAGAGCAGGATGAGCGAGACGACCGCGAGGATGGTCGAGCCGATCGCAACCTTGTTGGACAGCGACTTCCAAAGATCCAAAATCTTGGGGCGGCAGTCCTTGTACGGCGCGCCGTTGTACGCATCGCCCTCCTTCTTGCTGAGGAGGAACTGGCCGCACCACGCGGCCGACGTCACCGAGAGCGGGCACTGCTCGTTCGTCCACTCAAAGATCGACTTGTACGCTTCGTACTTGGACGCGACTTCCTTGCACGTCTTGCACACCTCCGTGTACTCCGACGGCATCTTGACGTTCGGGATCGAGACGGCCGCGAGCTGCTTGTCGACGCTGTTGCAAAAGCCGTTGATGCCCGTGGGCTCCGAGACGTTGACCTTGATGAGCGAGGCCACCGAGAGGATCGCCGCCGCGCCCGACGGGTAAAACGCATTGATGGCCGCCGTCGCCGACGACGTCATGCAGAGGTTCGCGGCCTGCGCGTAGCAGTACACCTTGTCAAAGCCAATCGCGAGGTCCGGCTCGTTCTCGGCGTCGGCGGGGTACGCTTCGCCCGCCCACTTGTTGGCCGTGCTCGCGCTCAGAAAGAAGAGGACCGCAAGGAGGATGAAGATGGCCATCGCGAGAAAGACAAATATCGAGTACAAGACGAGAAGGCACTTGTTGCGGCAGAGCGCGCCGAGGAAGCCAAAGAGCGCAATGGCAATGACGACGGCGCCGAACGCAATGACGCCCGTGTCCAGCCCGCCTTTGGAGACGTTGCCCTGGAAGATGTCGGTCCAGCCATTGTTCTTGACGTTGAGGCCATAGTAGATGAAGACGGCGCCGGCGGCAATGAAGGCGAGGTTGAGCAGCACCAAGATGACCTTGGAGCACGTGTTGGTCAGCGCCATGGTGTCCCTGCGACCGTGAATATTGCTGAGTGACGACGCTACCGGCTCGAATATTAGTCGCAGGCGTGAAATATTATCTTTTTTTATTATCCACGTCCACGTTATACAACGCATACAAACCCCAAGTACACAAGTCGCGTGGCCATTTTATTGCACCCTGTCGGACCCATACGCTGCGACACGCGGCGAATATTGTACGGATACACACGTGAGTATCCGGATATTGCGTCGCACGCGTGTGCGAAATGTGAAAATCACAAAATCCAAAGCACCGAGTCCAACGCCTGCGTTGGAAGGTTGGGAGTTTGGAAGATTGGAATATTTGGCGTGGGACACGAAGAAGACGTGGATGGTCGCACGGCCATTGCGGCCTGATGCTGTCGAATATGGCTCGCTGGCATGGACACGAGAGCTGGACACGAGGGCCTTGCACGGATTGCGAGAGCGAAGTTCGAAGAAGCGCTTAAGTGCGGATTCGCTGAAGTTGCCCTTTGCTGGCACCGAACGATGCACCTCCTGCGCACGTTTGTGCGCTACAACGTGTGGGCGACCGAGCGTCTCCTCGCGAGCGTCGCTACGCTCGACGACGCCGTGTACCATGGGCATTGCGGCCTGCCCTTTCGCTCGATCCACGGCACGCTGAACCACATTTTGCTCGCCGACAAGCTCCTCTATAGCCGGCTCCAACCCGACGCGCCCGAAGATCCGCGCCTCGCGCCGTTCTGGAACCGCCCAGACAACGAGCTGTATGCGGCGCCGAATGCACCGTCCACCTACTGGGAAGAGTTTGTGCCGGGCCGCGATGCCATTGCGGCCGAGCTCGTCGGCCAAGCGAAGCGGCTCGTGGCGCACGTGGATACCGTGCCGGCGAGCGATGCGCGCGTGGCGTATCGTGCGACGGACGGCGTCTTGAAGGAGAAAGAAGCCGGGTACCTCATTCTGCATGCGGTCAACCACGCAACGCACCACCGTGGGCAAATCTCGGCGTCGCTCACGCGCTTGGACGTGCCGCCGCCCACGATGGACTTTTCGTACTTTACGCCATGAGATATCGCAGTGTACAGTAGACGAAGGGAGCGCTCCTAAGAAATTACATCCTCCGCCGCTGTGACATCGAACGACGACGAGCCAGCACCGAACGAATGAGCGACCATGCAACCCCATGATGCAACCCAACACTGGGCAAGCTGATGCGGAGGTAGAGATGCTGGACCGTGTCTTTCCCGAGGCCTCAAAAGTGTTCTTGCCAGTGGGCAGTTCAGTAGTATCACATGTAGTTGGCACCTTGAGCTTGGTATACGTAGTCCGACGCGATCGATCGAACGCGTCTGTCCGCCAGCTCCGTCTGCCTTGTTGCATGGGTTTTATTGACCCATGCTTGTTGGCTTTGCATTGGTACTCTATTTTCGTGCGAAAAGAAACATTAAAATAGTGTACATAAATTTAAAACACACACTATTGCGCGATGATGCAATGCCGCGGCATAAAATGGTGTGAGCTAGTGCAGCATGTGCACACCAATTCCTGCTGTATATCATTCTACACCATTTCGCACCGTAGCGTGCACGACACGGAAATCGTGTGGGATGATCGTGAGCATACCGTCAAGCTTGCTGCACGAAAGCCGAGAACGTCCTATCACTATCACCGACGCAGTTGCGCGCCTTGAGCAACGTCGACTTGTCATTTTCAGATTCGACCGCCATGGCCCCGCCGTCCCCCAGCCCGCGGGCCGAGACACCGGATGCCACTTTGCATCATCCGGACATGCGGTGCTTCCAACTCGTCGACATCGTGCGCCGCAACAACCGGTTCGCGCCGGCGACGTACGCGCCGTTAGTTGTGGACCAGCGCACCGTGGGTCTCGTGGCCAAGGAGCGCGTCTCGGTACGACCACCTGGGCCTGCTCGTGGCATCTCATGGCGGTGGCTAGGCCCTTCAACGCTTTCCCGATGTCTTTAGCGAGGTGACGCCCGACCGCATTCAACTGCATCCGCGCTTGGCCCACGAAGCCGCGCGCACAACAGGTACACAAGTAGCAGTGCTGCCCTCTGACTGACAGCCGCCGGCTAGCCATGATGGACGTCGCGCGAGCGCTCTTAGCGACTGGCGACATTGGCGAAAAGTGGAAGCACGAAGACTATGGCGCCAAGGACGCGGCCGACCAGGTCGTCTTCCGCGTTGACCGATCGGCGGCTGCATTCTTTGGGATCACGCAGTGCGGGTGCCATCTCAACGGGTACGTCCGGCACGGCCCGCGGCCCGACGACGTGAGCGTCTGGATGGGTCTCCGCCATGCGTCGCGCGCCCTTTGGCCTGGCAAATGGGACTCGATCGTCGGGGGCGGCCTTCCGCTGGACATTTCGCCATGGGACAACATGCTCAAAGAGGCGAGCGAAGAAGCCAAGTTTGCAGCAAACGACATTTCGCATCTCATGCACAGCGTTGGCGTCATCTCGTACGTCAACTCGGAGAAAGAAGGCTTGAAGCACAACACGATGGTTGACATTGCCCTTGGGTCTGTCATGCTGACATGCCTTGTAGTTTGTGTTTGATGCATGCTTGCCATCGTCGCTCGTGCCACGCAGCGACGGCGACGAGGTCGAGCGCTTTGAGCTCTGGCCCATCCGGAAGGCGCTTGCGCTCGTCGAGGCGTCGCCCGAGAGCTTCAAGCCCGATATTTGCCTTCTCTTGATCGACTTTGGCCTGCGCCACGGCATTCTGACGCCCGACAACACGGCAGCGTACACGTCGCTCGTCCACAGTCTCCGCGCCACCCCGCCTTTTTAGGTTCTCTCGCAAACATTCCATAAACGCAATTAACGCGAGAGCCGCTTGTCGACAATAATCTGCTGGACGAGCTTGGCCTTGTAGCGCGCCCAGTCTTTTGGGTCGTGGGCCGCCGTGCCGCGGGCCGCCGCATCGTCGTTGAGCTTTTGAATGTTGGTGCGCACGCGCTGCCGTGTGCCGTACGATGTCTCGGTGAAGAAATCGGCCTAGACATCAAGTCAGACAACTTTGTGGACAAGTTGTCGTCGAAGGATGGGGATGCGGATGGACAAACCTTGCGGACGAAGAGAAGCTCGGCGTACGAGCTCGTGACGAGCGCGTACTTTGCAAATGACTTTTCATTGCCTTCGTTGCTCAGAAACGAGCGCTCGCCGACAAAGTCCCGGGCGTGGAGCTCTGCGTGCACGACGGCGTCGGCCGTGTCGTTGGTCGAGAGCACGTGGGAAGAGAGCGTGCTGTTTGCATACACAAAGTGCAGCGGGTCGTCTTCGTGCTCCATGTGAAGGTACGCCTGCCGCGCATGCTGCTCGGTGCGTCTGCCTTTGGAAAGCGGGAGGAGCTTGAGGTTGCCGCTGCTTTGTCGGCCCGCAGTGTTGTTGTTACTATGGGAGGCGAGCCGAGGACTGCTGCTGAGGTGGCGCCCCGTGGCCGTGAGGAGGTCGTGTCGCATAAGCTTGCACGTGCCACTGCGGACGACGAGGAGACCTTCGTGGTGCTGTCCGGAGACCTGAACCACCTAGAATTGCTGTTTGCAGTCGGAGAGGTCGGTGATGCACGTACGGTGGCGCTCGGGACTTTGATCCATTTGGTCTACCGCAAGATATCCAATGGCGTGCCATATCGTACAGTTTGACTGTCGTACCTTGACGGCCAAGATGCGCAGCTGTGGTGACGAGACGTACTTGAAGATCGGGAGCTTCCCAAGAAACGCAGCCACGTTGGCGCACTGCGATAGAGTCGTCGTTAATGTGCGTCGAACAAAGAGGACGAGGACCTCGATCTCGGCGTGCGCCAGTTCGAGTGCATCAAGGACCGACCACGGTAGCATGAGCAGCTCGCAGGCGTCCGTGGCCACCGCATTCACCGCCCTACGGCACGTTGTCGCGAAGCTGATGATGATGGGATGAGGGTTGTTGTATACCGAGGGAGCTGGCGGAAGCGGCCATGGCTGCCAAACTCGCTGCCGGTGTGCAGTGTGTAGAGTGGTGTCGCCGGCACCTCGAGGATTCGATCCACAGTGTCCAAGAAGGTGCTTTCGCGGTGCAGCGCACTCGGCTCAAACGCTGCGAGCTGCGTCTCGATCGAGCCGACTTGGTTGGTCGTCGTTTCGTCACCGACCTTGACCATGGGCAGCTTGAAGAGCTCGACTTTGCCGTGGAGCAGAAAGAAGAGCACGTGGCCGCTGTCGCCTTCTTTAAAGAGCACGGTGTGCGGCGACACGGTCACCGACACGAGCTCGCGGCACAGCTTTTGGTGCAGCTATCAGAAATGATATCTCACGTGCATCGGTCATCATCGTACGTCATGGGGGAGACCGCGGCACGTGGGAAACACGCACGTCTTGTCCATGAGCACGTGCAAGTCTTCGTCGGTGCGCAGATGCGGCGGGATCCGCGCAATCTAGCGCCATTTCTTAGGTTACGAAATCGCACTTGGCTCGAACTTTGTAGCACATGGACTGGTCGTTCTGCTGCAATGTCGACGCAATCAACGTTGGCGCCGGGCGCGGCGTAAAAATGGGTTTGTCGTCGTAGTAGTACATGGCGCATTCACGGTACTAATGTCGCCGGTCCCCACTTCAACTGTGTTGTTGAGATATATATTGGCTCGTGTAAAAAGGATATGCCGCCTTTGGCGTGGTATAACTGGAGCTCGGGCGCCTACATTCGAGTCAAGCTTCCACGTGGCGCGCCGACGATGCGCACCTCGTCCTTCTCCGCCGCGCCGTCCGTCTGCTCGTTCTACAGTCGGTGTGAGAGGCAGTCGCGACGCTTGGACGCACCGAGAGAAAATTGATGGTGCTATAGTCCTTGGCCGCGTCCGTGTACTGCCCGGCCTTGCGGTAGGCGAGCGCGCGGCCCTTGTAGAACGCGACGTTGGTCACATCGAGCTCGATCGCGACCGAGAAGCTCTCGATCGCGCGCTTGTACTCTTCGCGGAGCTATGAGACCTTAGTATTCGAGTAGAGAGTGAAGAGACCACGACTGCGTTGTACCGTGTAGCAAATGCCAGTGTTGAAGTGCACATACGGGTTGCGGGGCGAGACGCTCGCGGCTTTGGCGTACGCGGCGAGTGCGTCCTGCAGCCGCCCGAGCCGCTCACACTACGTTTTTCGAGCGATTTTGCGTTGGCATGCTGGACGCACCGCAATGCCGAGGCTAAAGAGGGTCTTGAAGTCGCGCGGCGACGTCTTGAGCGCGCTGTGGTAGTCGCTAGAGTAGAGACACGATGCGGGATGGTGCGATCAAAGTATCATCGTACTCGATCGCTTGGTCAAAGTTGCCCTGCATGCGGTGCTGGTACCCTATCTTCTCGTCAGCGTCAAGGCTGTGTGTCATCGTGTACCGCGCGCCCGGTAAAAGTCGGCGTTGCGGGTGCCTCGGGGCAAAACCGCGTGCAGCGGACGAATCTCAACCGTGCTGCCGCAGAGCGGATCGACGTCCTTGACGTGGTGCGCCTCGCGGAGGGCCGCCTCGGCGATAGCCGTGACGCTGTCTGGCATCAAGTGCCGGCAAATGCGCTCCTCCATCGACTCGCAGCGTGCAGTCGCCGGGCGCTGCGGGACCACATGCGGTGGCGTCAATGACGTGGCACCGGCAGAGAACGGCCGTGCAGGTGCTAGCCACGAGAGGTCGGCGCGCCGCGCGGTGGCCGGTCGCCCGCCCGTCGTATGGCGCACCTCACGCCCAATGCGCACGGGCGGCGTCGCGAACGGCCCCTTGTACGTGGCCATCGCCGCTTCGTCGGTCGAAACCGCTTGAGATATTTGTCAACCCTACCCCATCGACCGCTGGATCTGGGTGTTGATGCAGCTCTATCTATCTATCTATCTATCTATCTATCTATCTATCTATCTATCTATCTATCTATCTATCTATCTATCTATCTATCTATCTATCTATCTATCTAT